AATTAGATCTAAGATGGCATTTTTTCTGGTAGGAGTCTCCACCATCTGGTCCATGAAATTGTCGCGCAACATGTTTAGAAATCGCCCCGCCTTTGCCGAACCCGAAGTTCCATTGGCCCTATTTATGTCTGGGTAATTGAAGTCACCCATCACGACTACATTGCCCTCTCTCCCAGCTATTCCTATCTGTGAGTGAAGATTGACTTCTCCCTCTTCCCCTATATTTGGAGGTTTATAGCAAATACCCACGAGAAGTTTACGGCTAGCGTCCGTCATATCTAGCTCCAGCCATAGAGTTTCCACGTCTTCCCCATTATTTGACGTGATATCGTCCCTTATATGCACATATAGATTATTTTTTACGTAAATGCAAACACCCCCCCCTCTTCTCCCACCTCTGTCCCTCCTAAACAGGTTATACCCCTCTATATTAGTAGCCCAGTCATGCGTGCTGTCCAGCCAGGTTTCCGCTATACCCACTATGTCGAAGTCCTCGAACTACCGATGTTAGACTGACCGGCCTATAGTTCCCAGGTTGGCACCTTGCCCCCTTTTTGAATATTGGGACTACCGTAGCCCTCCGCCAATCACTGGGGATCCTACCAGTCATTAAGTGTGTCTTTCACACTTGCATTGCATGTTTTTAATTTAGTTTGTTGAGCTGATTTTTGAACTGTAGTGTAGGTAAAGTCGAATATTTAGGATAGGGAAGGGTTAAAACACTGACAGTTCTTTTTTGGCTGTCTATGTCCCGTTTGTGATTTCTATTCACCTGTTCTACAAAACTTAATAGAAAGTGAGAAGAAATATTTGCAAAGTGAGGGGAATTCTCCCCTCAGACATTTGTCACCTGAAAAGGTGACCCTGTGGAATATTTGCTTCTGTTCCTGTCTCAGTGACAACTGTACATGTTTGGATTTCCTATCACTTTCTGTCTCTATGACATTGGTCATGAGGACTAAAATGATAGTGTAAATCTCCCCATCAGGGATACAGACAACAATAAAAAACTATTTACAGGGGGAGATGTACATTTTTTGCCTCTAAACTGCCTTGTAAGTATATGTTTTTTTATTCATAAAAATCAATATTCTAATAATAATAATAAAATGTATTTTATTGATTTTTAAGAATAAAATACCATATTGGATGCTACTATAAGCAGTGGCACCCCATTTTGTTCTATGTTTGGTTCTACTTGCGACCCCCCTACCCTGGCTGGGGGGTCCTTAGTATTGTGTGGGAGCAGCCCCTCCAAGAAGATTCAACATTTTATGGAAGGGAATGATTGATAAATCAGGCGCCTTTCTGTAAAGTCTCCTTGTAAGAAAACATAATCTTTGGTATATAGTAGGGATGCACCGATACCGATACTAGTATCGGTATCAGTAGCGATACAGAGTATTTGGGCAAGTACTCGCCCAAATGCTCACAATATTTATCCCGATACCGGAACGTCTGGTCAGAGGGAGATTTGGTATCAGGAAGCCGGGCGGCGAGCCATTACACACCGCCTGGCTTCCTGATTGGCCGGGAAACCGACTCCATGCTCCCTCGTCACCTGGTGACTCACTGCCCGGCTTCCTGATTGGCCAGGAAGCTGGCCAATCAGGAAGCCTGGTGGCGAGTCATTACCCGCCTCCCTCGTTACCTGGTAGCATGGAGCCGGCTTCCCAGCCAATCAGGAAGCCGGGCGGCGAGTCATTACACACCCCCGGCTTCCTAATTGGCGGGGAAGCTGGCTCCACCGCTGATCTCCATTAACCTCCAGTGATTCCTGAACATACCAGCAATTAACACCCAATTGGCCATAAAGCTGGCTCCATCACTCATTAACTGGTGATCCGGCTAATCAGAAAGCTGGGCGGCAAGTCATTACACGCCGCCCGGCTTCCGTAGTGTGACTTTCGGTATTGGTATTCGGTATTGGCGAGTACCGGAAAAATAAATATTAGTACACGATACCGAAAAAACGGTAACAGTGCATCCCTAGTATATAAATAGCTGTATGATACTCTGACTTACAAAAATCGAAAACACTTTATTAGCAGGAAGACCACCTTGTTAAAGTTCCCGTATACAAATTTGTAATGAGGTATAGAGATGTAGTATCAACAGCTGTTTTGGCTTTGATAAAGGTTACCCTGTGTATTAGGCAAGGTAAGTATCTTGGTATCTTCAGGATCCCAGGAGAACACAAGTACTTTAGAACAGCCTGCAAACAACACTTTGTGGGCAGAATCTATATGGAAATATCAGCACCATGTCCCGGAGTGTATATCCATGTAGGTATCTAGTTCCACAAATAGCTCAAAACTCTCCACACTGAAATATAAAGGATCCTTCAAACATTGCTAAAATTAAAGTATGTAGATGTACGTGTTCTATAAAGATGAAAGTTTTTTCAACTGCTTTCATCATGGCAATAAATATGAACAAACATGTTCCCAAAGTGAAGTAAAGTGTCAAAAGCTATTGATCTCCAAAGGAGGCAGACGGGTATTCATCAAACAACACTCAACTGTCTGGCTACAAGTGAAATTCAACAACCAGGTTCTAGCAGGTAGATATCACTGTACACGTGCCTTAAATTTCCAGCAAGACTGCAATGCTTAATTAGCCTATTGCATTGTATACAAGTTGGCAACAGTTTAGAACACTCAAGAATCCTCCTAAGGTATAAATAACCCCAAAGCTGTATACCAACCATCATTTGGTGTAACCAAAACAGATTAGAAGACTCAGTCATTCTTGGTGCATATTAGCAGAGGCATAAACAAGCACATAACACAGTCAGTTGTATCCAAAACTTCAAAGAGGTGGCCATTGCAATTTCCCATGCCAAAGTGTGCAAGTGTACATCACGCGTTCCTGTCACTTGTATTGTATAGGCTGGAATTAAATTTTTGAAGCAGAATCCAATATCGCTGTATAGCACAGCATGTAGTTACGAGGTGCTGTATCCAATCCGGTGATGATCCAAACGGAAAATCCTCTCTTGTTTTCACTACCTGTGTACTGTAAGCAAGCAAAGATGATTGAGTCATTAAGTCCTCATGACTTTATTCTATAAATCCATTTACTTTCAAGTTGTAAAATATTGTCATTATAGCCC